TTTCGACAACCCGGACCCACCTAAAGACCTCTTCATTGCACGTGCCTTTCCTGCCCGAAATGGTCCTCTCTAGAGTGTCGACGTCGTATTCATGCCAGCCCAGAGCGGATGCGACCTCTCACTAGAGCCGACATTGAAGCGGCACGTCGGCCGAGAGCGCCGCATGCGCCATGTATCGGTGCATGAGCCCTTACTCCACATTCAAATGCCACCCATCTGTCTGCCTCCCCGCATTAAACATGTGCGATTACCGAGCAACCTACTTCAATGCCCGCATGCGAGACCACCCGTCCTTCTGTCTATTGGCCGGCATTAAACACCTCGCCGCTTGGCCTGGTGTCCATCCACTCGCTATTTAAACGTGGCCAGGGCCCGCAAGAGGCGCATCCCACCTTCGCTCTCCGATCTGCTCTCTGCACTACACCTGCCATGGCCTTGAAAAGCGTTGTGGGACGGCCTCTTCAGCGAACAGAGGAAGGAGCACTCTGGCTTTGCGGCCACCTGGCAGGCCTGCCGGGCTCTCCGGAGGGCAGCGACTCAGAGCCAATGAGCGAGGAGCCCGCACCACTGTGTAAGTGCATCTACTGCCCCCTTTGTGGTTTTGGTGTAATGAGGACAAACTTGGTTAAAGGACTATTGTGTTTGTGAGTTTACACATGATAACACAAGAGAAAATCCCTAGAGATTTGGTTTAACCATCGTAGACGACCCCTAAAAATGTCCGAAGACATTGAATACTTCGGTGTCCTGCAAAGACTTAGCTTGAAGACTTGGAACACAAAGACTTAGTCTTTTTGGTAGTTTCATTTTCTTCTTATTTGAGTCATATGAACCAGCATACTATTAAGTGGGGTCAAGGTGAACAAAGAATGAGTTCGACGTGATGCTCAACCCAAACCTATTTCTTCGAGTGAAGACATTGGAAATCTCTTCCGAGTGGTTGAGTCAGCTGTACTTGTAGCCCACTAGGACACGTGTCAGTTGGCTGATGGCCCAAGGTCATTTCAGTCATATCACCTTGAGTTGCTACCCTAGCTATAAATAGCCCCCTCCCACCATAATTTGGTTGGCTGCTCCGAGTTATTGCATGACAAGTGTCATTCTAGAGCAACCCAACCTCCGAAGCATTTGAGAGAATCCTAAGTGAGGAAACTCAAACACCCAAGAGCCAAAGTGATTGAGCATTATCGAAGAATTTGTTCTGAGTGAACCGAAGACTTATTATACTTGAAGAATATGATCTTACATACAGTTAGGCCCATGTTCTAAGCTTCTAGCAGTCAATTGTGAAAGGCCAAAGAACGAGTCTGTGAAGGTTTTAGAAGTCTACCTTGGAGACTTACCACAACTGATTGGGCGAGGTCTAAGTGACCTTAGCTCAAGGAGAATAAGGTGAAGACTCGGTCTTCTGAGTTAAATCTCAGCCTCTCTAACCAAACATACAATTCTCACAACAATTGGAACTGGTGCAACAAATCCTGTGTCTTTGTCGAGTAACTGGTTCTATCACTTCACCCTATTTATTGTTGTACTTGATGGGAAGGCTTTGCTTGCTTTCTGTTCGAAGACTTTGCCTAAAGACTTTTAGTATTTCTATGTAATCATGCTTTGCTTTGTCTTCAGTCTAGCTATTCTTTAGTGCGCCTTCTTGTGCTGCATCTATTTTACATATTCTGCTACCTCGTTTGCATCCTATCTTTTCTGATGATGTTGTCTGCATACTAATTGCATGTATAGCTTAGACGTGCTTAAATCTTGCTTCCACGTCTTTGAAGAATTAGCTATGTTCAAAGACATTCATAAAAATACCCATTCACCCCCTCTAGACGATAACTAGCACTTTCAATTGGTATGAGAGCAAGGTGCTCCCTTGATCAGTGTGATTTAGTTTAACCACCAGGAGTTTCAGCTATGTCGACTACAGGGAACTTCAAAGTGTCCGCCTAGTTGAAGGAAATATGCCCTAGAGGCAATAATAAAGTTGTTATTTATATTTCCTTATATCATGATAAATGTTTATTATTCATGCTAGAATTGTATTAACCGGAAACTTAGTACATGTGTGAATACATCGACAAAACAAAGTGTCCCTAGTATGCCTCTACTTGACTAGCTCGTTAATCAAAGATGGTTATGTTTCCTAACCGTAGAGGAGAATGATGTGATGGACATGACCCATCCGTTAGCTTAGCATTATGATCGTTACAGTTTCATTGCTACTGCTTTCTTCATGACTTATACATGTTCCTCATACTATGAGATTATGCAAATCCCGAATACCAGAGGAACACCTTGTATACTATCAAACGTCACAACGTAAAATGGGTGATTATAAATATGCTCTACAGGTGTCTCCGAAGGTGTTTGTTGGTTTGGCATAAATCGAGATTAGGATTTGTCACTCTGTGTATCGGAGAGGTATCTTTGGGCCCTCTTGGTAATGCTCATCACTATAAGCCTTGCAAACAATGTGACTAATGGTTTAGTTATGGGATGAAGCATTACGAAACGAGTAAAGAGACTTGCCAGTAACGAGATTGAACTAGGTATGATGATACCGACGATCGAATCTGGGGCAAGTAACATATAGATGACAAAGGGAACAACATATGTTGTTATGCGGTTTGACCGATAAAGATCTTCGTAGAATATGTAGGAGCCAATATGAGCATCCAGGTTCTGCTATTGGTTATTGATTAGAGATGTGTCTCGATCATGTCTACATAGTTCTCTAACCCGTAGGGTCCGTATGCTTAACGTTTGATGACGATCTATATTATGAGTTATGTGCTTTGATGACCGAAGTTTTTTCGGAGTCCCAGATGAGATCACGGACGTGATGAGGAGTCTTGAAATAGTCTAGACATAAATATTTGTGACGTCCGGGTAATTAAGCTACAGTGATCCTCTGCTAATGATGCCACGTGACCTCGTTTATAGCTGCTAATCTCCAGTTAGTTCGAAACCGATTCAAATTCAAATTCAAAATTAGGCAAACAATAAAAGTTTTCAAATATTAAAACTAAAATGTTCGGAGTGAACCAAATATTGCATAGATAATTATTGGGGAAAAACCACACATTTATAAAATGTTTAAATACTATGAGATGAATAAAACAGTAGTAAAAAAATGATTATTTGAATAACTTTTATGATTAATAAAATGTCAAACTAAGTTATTTGGGGTCTAGACTTTTTGTGACTGGACTAAGTCAAAATACTGAATTAGATACTAAGTGTATATTTTACTAAATTAAAATGCAACTAAAATAAAGAAATAAAGATATAATAAAGAAAACAGAAAACAAGACAAAAAAAGGAAAAGGAGAACCCCCCCTTGCCCCCTGGGCTTCGGCCCAGCAGGCCACAAGCCCCCCCCCCCCACTAGGCCCCTTGGCCCAGTTGGCTCAGCCGACCACGCCGGCCCAGCCGGCCCACCGACGGCGGCCCACCCCACTCCCCTTATCCCCCTCACGGAAACCCTAGC